TCATATGCTTACCTTTTTAACTTCATATTTTATTGCAAGTTTTAACCTGATAAGGTTCTGTCTGCCAAAGGTTTCAGAGCTTTGAAATGAATCAATGTCCCCATTTAAGACGGCCTTCACTTCCTCTGTGTTTCGACACAAATCCAGAAGTCCCACCACAAAGTCTTTACACTGCATGGACAGTTTCTTGTAATCGTTCTGCAACAGACAAAGGCAAAAATCTATAGCAGCTTATTCTTATACTTTTATGAAGTACTCATGAACATGACGTTGAGTATTGTCTGACCATTGTACATTTAACTAAAATACTTTACCTTGAACTCCTTTTCAATGTTTGCCAGAACAGCAAGCTCGTTGCCCAGGTCCAGAGCTGCCATCACAGGGTCTTCATTGGAGAGGGACAGATAGGCTGGACTGGCCAGACCTTTATATGCATTGATACGGGACTGTGAATGACTAAATGAGTCATGCCTCTGCTGCTCGCTGCAGTCCGTGCACTGGCAGAAGTAGTCATGAGGTCGCTCTATGCGGGCCCCCTTCATAAGAAGTATGTGCACTATTTCATACTCAAGGCATTGGGAAGCCAGGATGATGGGAGTGATGTCGTGAGAGAAACGTGTGCCATCCTCGTCATAGGCAAAGAAGTCATCATGTGTCTCTGCCTGGCCGGGACTGTTAGTAAGCCTCTGACCGTCTGCAAAGGCCTGATGGGTCAGTATGGCCTCCACTATACGGATGTAGCCTTTACTGATGGCTAACAGCAAAGCATCTCCTATTCTAGCGAGGTCTTTCTTCCTAAGAAGGAGCTTAGTCACCTCTAAATGCTCATTGGCAACTGCCAGCTGCAGTGCATTCTGGCCCATGTAGTTTACGCAGTTGACATTGAGGTCTTGGAGCTCCTCTATCATCCGTCTCACTTCGGGAATGTTGCCATATTCTGCAGCATCTAAGAAAAGTTCCTCTGTGATGGAAAGGCAGGAGGTGGATTGAGCATGGGACAGGTAACCAGCTCCCCGTAGAGCTTGTCTCCGGGGTTTGGCCATGACCTGCCGCAACATCATGGCTCTCCCTTCATTGCTCCACCTAAACACAGGAAAACATATTTTATATTTTAGTTGATAAAACAGTACAGTTCAAAGATAAAAACAACCCAATTCAAAATTAAACAACTTGTTTAAAAACTAAAAAGCATAATAAAAATAATTAAAATAAATGAATAAGAATTATGCATTTGCATAGTGAATAGGACTGCAGTTGTTTGGTGACAGAGTGAGGTAAATGTGGGTGTCACTGGCATAACTGTGATAAGCAACATTGTTGTTCTGGGGAATGTGGCCAAGTGGGAGCATGTACAAGTTAAACAGAAGGGGGTTGAGAATGGATCCTTGTGGGACACCACAGGTCAAGGGGCATGTGCTTTGGGTTAGGGTTCCAAATAGTGACAACATAATATCCCTGCCTTCCGAATAGGATCTCAGCCATTTTAAAGTACTTCCAGAAAAAACTGCTTTTCCAGTCTATGTAAAAGTATACTGTGACTGACATCAAAGGCTGCAATGAGATATAAAAGCACTAAAACTGATGTCCTGCCTAAATCACTATTAAAATGAACATAGTTTTAAACCTTTATAGGAGTTGTCTCTGTGATGTGATAGGCATGAAAACTTGATTGAAATGTATCAAAACAGTCATTTAAAGTTAAAAAGTGTGTTAGCAGTTTAAAAACTGGCTTTATATTTTTCCTAAAATGGATATATTTGAGATAGGTAGTGGTATCTAGGTTAAACATTTTTAATAAGGGTTTAACAACCATAGTTTTCAAGGCTGAAGGAAAGGTGCCAGATAGTAGTAATGTTAAGAACTTCTATTTCTATGGAGATAAAAACTTTTTTTTTTTTTTTTTAACAAGCTGTCAAGAGAGCAAGGTGTCTTTGTTGATGGGACTGAACTCTGACATTAGGAACGGTTCTTTTGTGGTCTTAGCTGGTAGGTGGTAGTTTGGCTCAGGTTTGAGCTTATGTCAAGTCTTATACCATCAACTCTACTTTCTACTTTTAAAAGAGGACGAAAATTCATCACACTTGTCAGCTAAATGAAATTCAGGAGGATTGTGTCTCTACTGTAGAAAATCGGATGCATGCAATTTTTTAAGTTTTGATTATGATACTGGAAAAAAAGGATTGTCTTGCTTTAAGACAAGTAGTCTACTTGTTTAGGTAAATTAACATCCGCCCCATCTATGGCCTTTAGAATGACACAGTATTGACTTAAGAAGTGAATGGACAACGATGTGCAATGGACAGCTGGTCTCAGACGAATTATAACTCTCACTACATGTGTGACACCACCCACAGACTCATCATCTGCTCTCCTTCATTTCATGGCCTGGCACTGTCCATCCACTCAGCCTCTGCCTCATAGTTGCACAAATTTATTTTGCATTTCTGAAATATTATACAAGAACATCATCAAGTATTTGATAGTTATTCCAGTGGTTGAAGTATGATGTTAACTCCATTCATTAGACTGTGACAATACTTTCCATATGACAGTGACTATTTTTAATACTAATCATGTTTTGTGTCATTGCCAAATGAGCAAATCTACTTTCTGTTCAGTAATTACATTTGAATAACGTGGTTATCTCAGGAGCTAATTGCTTCAGGACAAAATGATGATAGACGATGACAATGTCAGTTCTTTCAATCATAATTTGAGTTAATGAGATTTTACATTACCTGATTTGCACACGCAGTATATACAAAATTTGCTTTAATACCGACTGAATTCAACAAATTCATCTTTGACATCTCGTGTAGGACATCAGCTGAGACAAGATAAATGAAAATTGTGGCATGATGTTCAGCCAGAGAAGGTCTGAAAATCATATTTCAATTAGTATGAACATGAATATGATAGGTAGCATCTCCATGTGGATTTACCTGCCTGGATTTCTGAGAATGCCTTGTTGTTTTTTGTTCTGCTGCTGTTGTCATGACAGAAACTGTTCTGCAGTGGCATGATAGAAAACTCACAGTACCATCACTACTTAAATGATGCTCTGTGCATTTGCATGTAATAAAAAACACTCAACATGTGTAGTAATTTTAAAAAATACTACAGCTCCCCCTCAACATGTAGAGGAGAAGACATCAGTGTATCCATGACAAGGAGAGGCATCCCATTCGAAACATGGGGTACTGCAGGATGAGATCAGCTTATGAGAGTATCCTACTAGTCTCATACTGTTGATCATTTTGAGAATATCATGGGCCTGGAGGTTTTTTCCTTAGAAGTCTACCAAACACCGACATTTCACAACTGTTTGGGTTTTAAATAAGGAAAATATTTGTATTATCTTATATGTTTCAAAGCAATATTATAAAAGTCTAACCGAATGGTCCACTCACCTCACAGAAGACTGATGTCCAAAATTACTTTACTTTCATTTCATCACGTCGTTACGACACAAAATGTCCAAAGGCGACCAGCAGCAACTCATATACTCCCTCATGTTCTTGACCACCTGTCAGACTGACTCTCACCCTGCGTAACACCTTGGCTCTCTGCTGACGGTGCTGCCTCTGCTCGCCCACTGGGCGGGTTTCTAGCAGGTTTTAAGGTGTGTTTTATAACATGGGATTTACGCATTTGTTGAATACATTTTGGTCCTGTTTTGGGTCCTGATTTAACTGTTTCTATCTCAGTTTAATTTCCTTTATTTTCCATAACTGTGGCCGGTAAGTCCAAAAAGATATTAAAGTACTTTGTCAAACTAATAGAGGATTTAAACACAGCAGAACAGCACTGACCTAACTGGTTGTGCCATAAACTGAGGCAGAAGGCTATGGGATTATTTTCTTAAGAACTATGTGTAATTGTCAGTGTGCAGGCTGCAGGCAATAGCACCACTAATACTCAATATGGTGTATGACACACTGAAAATAGATTTGATGCAGTGGACCCTGTTCATAGGGGAGTATAAACAATCTAGAAAAAGCAGATTTTCCTAAATCCTCTTAACTCATGGTGCCATCAAATGTACCAGGTAATAACAACACACCTTTATATTTCAGGAGAGGCATCATCCCAGAGTATATATAAGCTATGCAAAAACAATTATGAAAATGTAAACTGTTTAAAATGGAGATATAAATTGTGTTAATAGGCACCATCGGGTTGGCCTATATTTAGCTAAAGGTCATGGCTGTTTAAGCTGTAAATCTTTCAGCTTTGATTTATGTTACATTAATTTATTTTAGCCTGTATGTTAGGCTATACATTTATATGTATAGACATGCAGTGCATTGTATGTGTTTATACGCCGATTTGCATGTAAAAGGGCATGTATAATATCAACATATGTTCGTCGTCATTGGTCACCAAACAAAAACTTTATACAATAATTCATGACGAAACAAATACTGTAATAGCCCTAACCCTAACCCTAAATGTCAAAAGCATCCCTTTCCTAATCTTTACTTAATCATAATATTAAAACTATACTATATTATTATATATTCCGAACATAATAGCATAACTCTGTATCCATCCTCTATTTTCCTATTCTTTCTCTAAAAACAATTTATTTTCGTCGTGTTTTATTTAGCTCTTTGTTTTCAGCCATACTCTGTTGTTGAGAGTAGTAAGTATTACGACACTACCAGCTGTACCTGAAGGCTGCATGCTTGTATTGAGCCCGGAGCCCTCTGCTGGACATGGCGGGTAAAACCACTCCGGTCTCCTGTTGTCAAGGAGCTGCGTCCTCGGTTGCTATCATGGAGGGACTGTACACAGACAGACTCAGGTGAAACAGCTAAAAAAAAAAGTGACAACTTAGCCGCGTTGTTTCTCACTTTTTATAAAGGACCAACGAGCCTGTCATTCTTCAGGAGAAGCTGCTGCGATGTGGATCCGAACATTTCCTCTGCAGGTTTATCTCCGCTCTGAAAATGGTTGAATGAGTTTAAACGGCGTTCGGCTGACGTTAGCTAAAAAGGACCCAAGAAGTTAGCGGCTAACGTTAGCAGCTTTGCTGGGAGCTGCACCTGTATGTCTGCCCGGTGTCAGCGAGGACCAGCAGCCTCGGAGGATGGATGTTTTTCAAGACAACTTCTTCTACCACTCGTATCCTATAAACGTAAAGTTATTTACCCCGTGGAGTTGTTATAGAAGTGTGTATTACACGTCCACATCTGCGTCAAAACAAGTGTAGAGAAGCAGTTCAATCAACCCCTGACACTGAATTACTATGATGACAAACCTGTATATGACCAGCCTTTATAATGAATGAGAAAGGTTAATACTTTTTTTTTTTATTTACTCAAGTCAAAGGTTAACGTTTATGTGACGTGACTACACACACTACCACAAAAACCCTGCTCTCCTTAGCTGCTCACTTCCAGAAATTCCAGGTTGGGAGCAGATGGAGGCCTCGAAGATGAGAGACAGCTTCTGGTTGAAGAGCAGAAGTTATGCAGAGCCCGAGCTCGCAAGTTCTCCCTGGAAACCAACCGTCGAAGGAAGTCAGTACAAACCAGTGTCTAATAATTATGCACTGTTGGTTTTATAATAATAACACTAATAATATGTGTCCTCTCAGGTCGAACTACTCCTTTGTGTATTTAAAAGCAACACCTTCCATTTCTTCCTGCAAGCAGAGGCTGCTTTGCTGTTGTACAGTAGGCGCCTCCTGGACAGACAGCTTATGGTTCTGTCCTCAGCTTAGCACCTCTGAGGGATGGATGGTGTTGACAGGATTTTGCAGTCTAGACCTGGAAATAGATCTGTTGGCCCAGAGGGAGACTGTGAGCCAGGGTAGTAACCGAAGCATCAACTCTCTGACGACTAAGCTGCAAAGTTCAGCACCATATTAGCCTCAAATCCACATACAGATATTAATAACCTTCTAAATGTGTGTTTCCATAGTTATCAGCAGAGGCTAAATGTGAGTGTTCCTGTTTTGAAAACTGAGATCTTGAAAAAGTACGTTGATGCAAGCAGAGCTGTAGGTGGAGGTCAGATTTATTGTGTAATGTCAGAGGCAGATTTTGGCAGGTGATTATGATTCCTTAAACGTGATATAAGTTAACAGCTTAACACATAAAACACTAAAATACACTAAAACTAATGTATGCTCTTATAAAGGAAGGACAAATTAAAGGAGGTGAATGAGCTATCCCTTTAACATTACATGAAATGGAAACAGACAACTGTGTCGTTAATGAAAACCTTATGAACTGGTCAAACTTTTACAGACTATCAGAGTTTATAAATCAATATTAAATGCAATATAATTTTGTATATATCAGCACACTGATGCTGGTAACTTAAACTTTATAAATAGTATCAGATCAGCAGAAATTCAATTTGAACTTTAAATTAAATGTTAACTCATGCACCATGCCAACAAAAACATTTAGATTGGAAAGTCTTACCAATATTTGTTTGCTTCCTTTCATGCAAATGTAAACCAGGGCTAATGATTATTTTCATTATGGATCAGTCTGTCAATCACTTATCGATTAATAGATTAATTGTTCGGTAAGAATGCCAGAAAATGGGGAACAAATTTTGACTGCGGTTTCTCAAAGCCCAAAGTGGCGTCCTGAAATGTCTTGTTCTGCCTACAACCCAAAGATATACAGTTTACTGTCATAAAGGACTATATATATTTATTTACAATAAATATTAACATTTAATTAGCTGAAATGAGAGAATTTGGACAGTTTTAAAACTTTTTAAAATCAATTATCAAAATAGTTAGCGATTAATTTAATCATTGACAACTAATCGAATAATCATGCAGCTCTAATGTAACCAAGGCATCTACAAGTTTGCATATTTAAATTATAAGAACTAATGTAACACCTCTTCATGGTGCATGATTGTGTTTGCCTTATTATTCTGAAAAGTATTTCCAAACTTTAGATATTAACTAATAAATATAAGATAATAAATATTCTGTTTAATTTGAATAGAACAGATATGTGTTAACTAAAAGCTTGAGCTACTTTTCGTTCCGGTTTTCAACACTGTTTAAAAATGTACTCTGCTCTTGTTGACATTGATTAACATACCATTTCAACCTAATAAAATAAATTAAATATTAATGCTGAACTTGTTTGACCCTGCTGATGTTATCATTGGCTTCCTCAGTGAACCCAGTAGTGAGTGGTAGCTTTAATTTATTAATGACTATGTTGAAAACATATCTCAAGGAACGACTCAGGTTTCTGTATCTAAAACATGGTCTATATTTAATCAGTTAAAATGTACCTCAGGTTCACACTTTGCTCTTTTTCATGGCTCAGGACTCTGGAGGAAAGACGGAAGCAGTGGGACGTGCAGGAGCAACGGCTTAGACAGAACATCCTACAGCAACGCAGACAGCGAGTACAGGATGCAACTGAGCGCTTCCAAAGAGCCCACCTACCTCCTTCTCAGAGATACAGACAATGTTAGTGATGAATCCTACATATGTGCCTCAGAACTGAGAAATAATGCACGACAACTTGACACACTTCAGTTTGTTTGCATGTTCTCCTTTATGGTGTTTTAGCTTTTAGAAGAAATGTTCCCAACATTGAAGATGCACTCAGTCACATTCAAGGCACCTTGAGTCCATACACCCGGCAGACCTCTTTCTTGTCCAGCAACTCTCACATTAGCAGGTAAAAAAGTCAAATTAATAATTAGGTCATTCTCATGTGTCCTGTGTGCTAAAAATAGTCACTGCTGATTCATTAAAACTGTATACTGTTTTCACATTTTGGTGATATTTACATTCATAATTCTAGATTTGATTTAAGTTAGTCATATATTTTATTTATATTCATCTGTTTTCTCCTAAAGGAGCTGCACTCCCTCTCCTAAGCCTCCCACAGTTTCTAAAGCCGCCCACCGCCAAGCGCTCTCTGCTGTGGAGGCCTACACTAAACTGCTTCAGGAGCAGAGCATGACTTGCTTCAAGAATAGTCAACAAACCGAAAAGACACAAGAGAAGCAGCAGGATCACAGTCCACGGGTATGTTCATTGTTTCACTGGAATGTGCACGGATGAAAATGTTTTGCCTGTTTTCTCACAAACAAAAAAAGGTTTTTATGTTTATGCTTGATGTTGTGAGATGCTGTTTTGTCTCTCGTATACACACCCCATTAATACTGTATGTCAACAGAGTGACCAGCATTGTAACTCTGTGCTCATGTGCTGTAATTATAGATTTTGTCTTCTTAAAGTTTTGAAGTTTAGAAATTGGCCAGAAGTTATAAAAAAGAAACGGGAGAAAGAGGGTAATTTTAACATCTCAGAGGAGAGTTGGCAAAGAGTGTGTGCTTATACAATACAGTGGAGTTCAACTAGTTCGTCCACGTGGCGGGAATTCTGCTGGAAAAATATTGCACGATTCTTTATTACTCCACAGCAAAAAGCTGATTTTGGAGATAGCAGCACTTGTTGGAGGCTCTGTGGGGAAAACCACTTCAACATTTTCTGGAGCTGCCAGGTTCTTGTCCCCTACTGGCAAGAAATACAAAACATGTTAACAATGTATTTGGTAGTAGTATTCCTCTCAGATGTGATACTATTTACATGGGTGATATCCAATTAGATAGATGGAGTAATAACGACAAGAAACTTGCTCATATACTTCTGGCAGCAAGTAAAAAGGCTGTCACAAGGAGATGGCTAAAATCAGACCCACCAACTATTGAAGAGTGGATAGAAATAATACATGAAATTTATATGGCACGACTATCATTTTCCCTCAGGACCCAAAAAGAAAAATTTTACCTGATTTGGACCAAGTGGGTTGAGTACATCAAACCAGTTAGATCAGATTTTAAATGGACTTGACAATATGTTTGTAAATTAACGGATTTATGTACTAGACACAACAGGAAGTGTAGGTACAAACATCAATAAGAAACAATGTGTTTGTAACTTTCTGTTTGATCTTGTTTTATGTATGCATGTATGTGGATATAATGTAGATATGTGTGCGTAGGTATATATGTAGGTATGCATGTGCGTATGCCTGGTATGGGGTGTGTGTATTCATTGCCACAGAACTCTGGTGAACCATTGAGTGAAGAGCTTCCCATGTTCGACTATATATAGTTAACTATGCCCTATTGTTAAAAAAAATACTTTGGAAGGGTAGCATTTGGATAATTGAAGAATGGAAAGTCTCAAAAATATGTTGTGTGACTTTATCAGTAGTACAGCTGTAACTGTGTGAGACGATATGTAAGAATGTATTTGCCAAAATAAAGACAAATTTATAAAAAAAAGAAATTGGCCAGAAGTTAAGGATGAGAGCGGAGGAGCTTTTTGGAGAGAAGTGTGACTGTTTCTCTCTTAAACTGTAACATGGTCCGATGAGAGAGAGGAGTTTATTAGAACTAAAATACAAGGCAAGACAAGTTGAGGAAGTAGCTGAAATGAAATCTTGGGCTGACTAACCTATTTTCTGGGTTTCAGTTTTAAAAACTGTTCAGCAAGCTGTATCTGTCTGTGAGTAGCATGCAGGTACTACAGTATTTAGACTATATAGTCACTCTAACTGAGTGCTGTGCTATAACTGTCATGAATCCTTTTGTAAACATAAACCTGAAAAAATGAGCAGTGAGAGCAAACACAAACAGCAAAGTCGCAGGATGGACAACTAAACAATGAAACTCGCTGTAAAGCTCTGTAAGGCTGAGGGGAGCTCCAGATTCAGACTCACTATGAGTGACTTGTCACATTGTTTTCTCATTGTCATCTGATACTTTGTTATTATAAAAATATTGATTATAGCTATTTTAATCATCTTTCTATCTATCCAGTCGTTTTCTATTATTATACTCATATTTTCATAGAAACTTCATAATTACACCACATGTTCGCACCACAGGATGATATATTGAATCTGGGCACACTTTAATATATTTTATACATTTACATATTTTAGAGTAAAAACTGTTTTTAGCTTAACCAACAATGAACATATTAGCATGACTAGTTTATTTTCCTTGTGATTAGGATATCAGGCAGTTCAAATGCTTGTCCTACACAAGTAGACCCCCAGGGGGCAGCAGTGTGACATGAGCTTCTTTTCTGTACCAGGATCCCTCAGACCTTCTTGGCTGCCACAAGCACCCTCTGGTGAAATGTGCACGTGAATCGCTGTTTTAAATGTCATTTGTTACATTATTTACGTTTTCAAAAAATTGCTGCCTCCATCAATGACAGAGACAGCTCAGGGCAGACACTTCTTAGTGTAGGTCTATCTATTTTCTAAAAACAAAACAAAAACATTAAAAGATGAGGAAATTTCAACACCCAACCTTGTGCATAGATATGTCAAAATTATGCAAGTGTACTTCCTCATTTATGATTCACCGTGGGATGATATGTTTACATTCCATGTTCAGGTGCCACTTCAAACATTTTCCAGTGAATCTACTCTCTTGTCACTTCCATGCTACCTCAGTTGGCATAAAGTGCACCTTTTAGTGCACCTTCTGAATCCTGCTGTTGACCAGGGTGGTTTTACAGTTATATTTACCTAGGTTGACCCTTTTACAGTAACAATTTGCTTATACCCGAACTACATCCCAGCAAATGCACAAAACACCTACATAAGCTTTTGTGTTTTGGTTGGTAGAATTGTCATCATGAGCTTGAATTGTTTCGCACAGTTTAGGTATGCCACTGAAAATTAATTTTGAACAGAAATATAAAGAGAGAATAAAAGGCAAAACACAGATATAGTATAGAGTTTTTATCACCTTTGAGAAATAATCACAAAGCACATTTCCCCTATCTCTCTCAAACACAAACATCTTCATTTTCACCCCTGAAAATATGTAGAAAATGTAAATCATATTATTATTTTCTACTCATCACCTCTCTTTTGCTTCCATATTTCAGGACAGCCACCTGTCCGACTGCTGTAATTCGGAAAGCCTTTCAAGTAGGGACAGTTTGGACAATGAGGACCCCAACCACAGCACAAAGCATCTGCAGTGCTCCTATTCATCATTCATGTTTGACTCAGAGAAGCCCCATCCAGAGACAAGAAAGCAAAATGATTTGTCTCCAACATCAGACCTAACGTCTTTCTCAGCCATGATGCTTCTTGGTGATAACTTACCCCAATCAAGAAAACTGCATGAACCTAAGCAGAAAAGACAAGAGGACTCTGAAGGGCCAAACAATAAGATGCATGCTTTCAAAGCTTCTTGGGGGTTCACATCTGTTGAGCAAACACCTACAACAGTGACCCAGCCTGCTCTACACAACTGCAACTTATTAACTCTTTGTGAAATTATGAATGCAGACCCAGAGCCCTTTGAGGTGAACACCCCACAAAACAGTCCCAACGACAGTGTCATTGTTACAGATGGAGTTGCTCCCGGCAACACAGCACTTCAGTCTTCATGTCCTAAACAAGAGGCTCTGCTGGATCTCAGGCAGCAGAGGGTCTATGATGACAGGCAATTAAAACATCCATCAGCTACAGAAATTCTTTTGCCTGCCAAAAATGGTAACAGCAAAGACATTTTGTTTGGGGCTCCCTCAAAGCCAAATATTTTCTTGAACGATAGCACAACAGATAATGCCTCACAAGAAGGAACTCTTCGGCAAACAGGAAAAGAAATCCATTATCTGTCATCCCAGAAAGAGGCTAGTGCTTCCATAAACAACCTCAATAAGGTTTCAAACTCAGAGCCCAAAACTGAGAAGCCTATTAATACAGCATCATTGCAACACGCATGCATGTCTTACATTCAGTCAGACACTCTTAAGTGCCTTAAGCGTCCTGAGGAGGAAGTACAAAAAGGTGCCTCGGTGGGGACGTCCCATTCGGTGTGTGAAGTCAGATTCATTAAAGGGATCCTTAAAAAACAGTCCAAATATGTGTCAGGAGATACCACATGTATGTATGGCTCAGGACATTTGATCTTTGCAAAACAAGTAGCTTTAGCGATCAGAGATAGTGTTGAATTGACTAGAGCAAAATCTAACGATGTGGAGGGCAACAACAGCGTAAAAAAGAAGCTACGTTGGTTTGATGAGGTACATGTGGAGAAAGAGGACAGAAAACAGGACATGATGAAAAGCAAGTCTTCCAATCCCTGTCAGTCAAATAACAACACAGAGGACCACCAGCAAAGTCTCAGTACAGTCTCAGGGGCTTCCAAGCCTGGACCTGGCATGACCCCTCCAGCCTCCACTGGTTATCACTTTACAAAGCAAGCGTGGACAGATGTTGGGGTTCAAGTAAGCTTGCCCCAGGAACGAGCAGACGAGGTCAAGGTGCCGTGGAGCAGCACCAGGACTGGTGGCCCCAAGGTCCCTCGGAGAGAGCGCTCTGCCAAAGCTGGAGCGGGTCCTGTTTCCTCACGGACTAGAAAGGGCACTGTCATACGACCTCAATCTGCCACCGAGGTGAGTCAGATTGCCAAAACCCAGGGGAAGATCATGGTGCCCCGCCCACCTCCAAGGATGGAATCGGTGGAAGAAAAGACGCTGTACATCACCAAGGCTCCATATGGCATGGATCATGCAAGTGTCAACTGTAAACAAGCTCTGGTTTCACAGCAGGCCCTGCACAAGGACACCTCAGAAGGCTTTTTGTCACCTTACACACATCATGTAATCAGAACAGATAGTTCTGTTATGTACACACCACTGCCACCCTCGTATACCTGCCCCGTCTCAGAGGGCAACACAAAGGGCACACCCAGCTTAAGTCCTCAGGAAACTCAGGCCTGCAGTAGAAGAAGAGGGATGGTGCACAATGAAAAGGGCCTCTGTTTAGATTGCACCCCCACAGATGAGGAGATCTCACAGCTCTGGCACGGTGTCCGCACTGCTTTAGCCACCAAAGACGGTAATGTATATTTTGGCTCACACAGCTTAGACTTGGTTTGTGTGTGCAGAGATCAGTTAGATTTTCATGCAATTTTTCTGAAGCTCCTTTGTTTCTAAGCATTATATATATATGTGAGTACTGGCTACAGTACAGTATACTGATCCGTTTTATGCTTTATGACTGGCATACAATTACAATTCCAGTGACCCTTTGAATCTGTCCTTTTATCTTTAACTGTCCTCACATATAATCACACTAAAAGGAAAATTCAGTGAATGAGTTGTCTGATGTGTGACTGCAGATTTGGAATTTGCTGCCAAGTTGTATAAGATTCCCAAGAGATCCTTTTTAACTGGAAAGTTATTTTTCATAATTTGCATCAATATGCCATGTCTTCTTTGGCACTAAGCGATTACCACTATTCATGCATTACTGATTTACTGAAATTGATCCATACAATAGCTGACATACAGTTCTCTCTGCGTCATCTTGTGTTTTGATGTTGAGAAATAAGTGATTTGATTTCTTATTTTGATCTAGCTTGAGCTATATACACAATATAGACAAAATATTAAATTCTGCTTTCAATATCCCTTTTAGCAGGACAAACAAAGCCCTAACAAAACAGAGAACAGCAACAATTACAGTATGTATGAATGAAATAAAGTGGTGTCTTCTCTTTTACATTTTAGGTCACACACTAATTTACATGCTGCTTTCTCAATTTCGCTGACTTTGGAGTCAGCAGTGTGTGTGTGTGTGTGTGCAGTATTACAGCTATCTTTTCCTTTCTTTTCATGCGTTTTTTTTGCTCCATTTATTCCATGACACTTTGTTTGGGAAAATGCTGTACACATGCAGTTTTTATTCACATGCTTAACATGGTCTGTTGTTATTTTCAGTAATTTTTATTGTATGCCAAAGATGAAAAATATTTTATTATGCATCCTCTTTAAAATTACCACAGGGCCTGGGCTCACCACATACTAGTTAACTAAGTCAACTAGTTGTCGTTTATGTCAATGTTGTGGTGTTTCTCCGTGTTATTTTTAATGATTAGAGCAAATGCATCTTTCAGCAAAAATCAAGCTTGGAAGACAGGCCCTGGAGAGTGGGCGAGTTCTGAGGAAACCCTGCGTGGAGCACAGCAGACAGCCTCCTGGCTCAGGGAACAGAAGGTTTCCTCAGCCCTCTCAGGTACATGCATGTAGTTTTGCCCTGTGGGGAGGAAGAGTGAGGATAATTACAAAAGATCAGTAAATGGGTGTGTGTTTGAACTTGTTGAATCGGTTTTGCAGTCCCTTTCATGCTGTCTTTAGTGTTGGTAAAACTGACTAGACGCCACGATTTATGCTTCTCAAGACGAGACTTTCCGGATGGACTTGAGTTGTTGGTGTTTTACAAAAAAGCGTTGATGCATAATGTTTTTGTTTACAACTTGCTCCACCTGTTATTGTGCTTAATGCCTGTCACCTAGAATTTTTGCAGTGTGCTATTAGGCTAAATGTCTGAACATGTCTTTTATTTTGTTATGTGTAGCCAACAAAACAGACCACAGAGCCAGTCAGATCGTTCTCCAGTGCATACGACATGGCCTTTCCAGATGAAGGTATTGTGTTCACTGTGTGTGTTTAGGTTTCTTGTCTTCTGTAAATTTCAACATTTCATCTCTCTCCTGCATATATTTTGTTTAATGTATAACCTAAAAGAACCCAAAGTACCCAAAAGTTCTTAGTAGTTATGTGAACAGAAAATTAATAATCTGAGCCAGTACCATTCACAGTCATTTTAGCAGTACAGCAGGGACATCAGAAATTTAGAAAGACAACAGCCCAACTTTATTTGCATCCATAAAAAACAACAACAAAGTAAAGTGGAAACAGCTGAAAATACATACCATTGATGTGACTTTGCCTGTGGTTTCAGGTTTGGAGAGTGCAGCCCAGTTACACATGGGTGAAGTGCATGCTGAACGCGCACTGGCAGAAAGGGATATTGTGGCTGCAATGGAAACAGCCCAAACACAGAGGCCTGGAACGGTGCAGCAGCGCAGCCAACTGCAGGGACTCACCACCATTTCCTTGGAAGAGCAGAAAATCCTCCTCTCTCTGGACAGACTCAACCACCAGCTGTTCTGTGAGCACTTTGTAAAGGCTGTTTGCATTAGACCAGAACTGACTGACTTGATTGTTTTGATCTGCATAAAACATGAAGTATTAACATGTTGTCATTTCCATGTAAGATAACCGCTCCTACCTGTTGTTGTTTGTAGGTGTCCGGGAACATGTGAAGAGTAATACTGGCACGCGTGCCCTTGTTCTTATTGATGGACCCTCTGTAAGTATGAATTTCTAAGGGTTTCAGTGTTTGCCTCAGGATATAAGGGGACTGTTGAACATGCTTTATTACTTACTTGCTTCCATTGTTTTCAGACAAGGGAAGTGAAAGTCACAAAGCACCGCACATCCTCAGCTAACAACCGGTCTCGATACCAGAAGAAAATCTGACCTGAAGCATGTGTGGTCCACAGTGGTCTTCTCTCCCATCAGTGCATTATTCCTGTCTTGCATCACACTGTATAACCACCCCCTTAATTACCCTGTAAAATGAGCTCAGTCTCCTTTAAAACAAAATATGTCCACTGGAGTGACTTAAAAATCTAAGGCATCAGCATCAATGGACTGTAGAGACACTAAACCATATCAGCAGAATTAGACCAAGCTGAATTTTTAAGTTGTCAAGATGAAAATACTTTGTATTTTCGCCTTCTGCTTAGACAACAACACATTGTCTCAAAAAAACTTTTTCAGTTCCTGCTGAGCCACTTACTATTGAGCAGTCAAATTGTAAGTGCCTCTGTAAATTGTACTGACTTCAGTTTGTTTTAATTTCACAAATGAATTATAATTGACACATGACTAGAATTGACTGCAAAATATACACTGTAAATTTGTACAAGATTAGTTTTTAGTTTCTATACTGTCCTATTCTGTATTTATTTTATATATTAAAACTATAATTTTATGGAAGCTATTTTAAGACCATATTGGCGGTGAACTGAATAAAGCTTGTCTACATACTGTGTGCGTGCAGTGCCTTTGACAGTGTTAGTATTTCCTCAACCAGAAATGGTTTCTAGAGAGAATGTGTCGCAATGTTAAAGGTGTGTTCCTTGATGGCTGTGGAAGGGATGATTATGTCTTGTGCAGATGACCCAACCTACTGGCTCAACAAGGCTAGTCTCTGCCAGAGGGCCTCCTGCCTTCTACTGCAATTGCATTTACCCTGAACCTTACCCTTGCTTTAGGTCCTATTTCATTTTAAATTGTCCATAGAGTAACATCAGTAGACTGAAGCATATATTTGATTTTAGTTGTCAGCTGCATAATAAAATGCAGTATTTAAATAAATGTATCTCTGTCTTACTTGCCAAAAAATAGGTGCTTCAAGGAAAAAAGCTGCAAGGATTATGAATGTGTGTTCAGTTGCCCCTCCTTCACCAGCATGTCTGGTTTTGCCCTTCAGTCAGCCTGTTAGGACTTGCTAAAAGAGGTGGAGGAAGCCCAGGCTCACTTGAAGATTCAGGCTCCCATCCGTGATGAAACTTTTTTTTGGTTTAACTGCAGGTTTCTGGTTCCATGCATGCATACATTCTTGAGTGTTTTAACAAGGAGCTGTAAACAGTGATGTGACTGGTGTCTGACTGCCATGTAGAGTCATGCATCATCTTGTTATCTTACACCAAAACTGAGGACATACACGTAGAGAGGAAAAAGAGAGAAAATATGCTCAGCTGTGGTGTGTGGTGATGCCTGCAGGAACAGAAGCCCTTTGACAAATTGTGTGCTAAGAGATTCTCTCGTAAAAAGGACAAAAGATGTCCACTGTGGTTATTTGAGGAGGGACATTTATGTCACTTTTAAGCCAATTGGCAAAATGTCATAAGAGGGGGGAAACAGTGACACTTTATCTGAATATGTCAATTCTGATATTTAACTTATTTAAGTGTTACTAATAACAATGTCCTGTATTTATAAAAAACTATATTTAAGTAAAAAATATATTCTGCTGATGATGCATGAATGACTTAATAAATATGAAAGTCCATGCACAGAGAAAGAACAGTAACAGTAATATCATGTACAGTAAGAGTTTATCTGTGCCAACTCTCTGCACAGCATCGACCAAACTTTTACTCAGAATACTCTGCTGCAGGTTGTCTCTGAAATCTGTTCCCTTTGGCCTATTACCGTTAATGTTCAGAGTCATTATATCATACAATAGTAAGCTTAATGACATTTGAGCCTTAACCAGCACAACACCCAGAAACCCGACAAGAAAGGGCAAGAGTGCTGAAAATAAGGGTAGACATTTTCCCCAGATGCGAGTTCAAGCTTGTGCTTTGGTCTGTTGTGAAGCTTAATCTCAGGAGTATTCTGTCATGTTTTGTTATAGTCCATTTGACATGCAATGAATGAGTGTCTGGTCTGGCTCAGTTTCTTTAAAACTGAATAATTACTGCGTGCATGCATGTAAAAAGATAGAACTAACTGGATGGCAGGTTACGGTTATGATCAACAATACTGCACATGAAGACAAAATATTGAAATTAATCTTAACTTTTTTTTAAACTGGTTGGTTTATTTTCACTGTGTTCTAAAAAAATATACACATTACATAACACAGGTGCACAGTGGATGAATAAATTAAGGATTTTACTCATAAAACTGAAAAATAATATATGATAAAAACACTCAAAGTTAACATATAATAACTTATATTTTCCAACGTGGTCCTGACTATATTGTAGTTGATGAATTCATGTTAAAGGGAAAACAAACAGAAGTGTGTATAATCTGCACACATAGCCTGTGTGTACCCATTAAAGACAGTAGGGGGCTCTCCATCTCCCATCTGCCTATCTGCCTGTAGCAACACTGTGCGTCACTATATCCGATAATAACACCAGACCAACGCGTTTTAAACAGGGAGGACTGTTATAGCCGCCCCGTCTGTCATTACCCAACATCGATTCAGTCAAATGGAGCCCAGGAACTAGTTTTTGCTGATATTCCACTGCATCAAACCAAAACCTCAGTGACACTGAGTCCTTCTGAAGGATGAAGAGATGTTGACCAAAAGTGACCAAGTGGGTGGTCCCCTCAGGGCTGCCGGGACACTGCAGTCCATCTCTTTAATGTGTCTGAGTGCGTTACAATGATGTGAAAATGACCACTTTCACCCAAACAATGGACATATCTTGACTGGCAGCATGTGTGCACAGAATGTGTCCTTCATAAATCAAAATATGTGCCCTTGTAGCATAATCATTCAATATTGCACAGACATTAAAACGTTTTCAGACAACTTTGTTGTGAATTATATAGCCTAATCCTTTAATGTGCCTCGAATGGAAATATAAAGAAATAACAGAATTTAGCCTAGGACAGTTATGAGAATATTATATTGATACAGGACTTGGATAAATATAATTAATCAATGTCCACAATTTATCCCTTAATACCAGGAAGTCATAATATTGGACCTGTTGCATGCTGAGTATTTTAAACAGTTTTATTACATTATTTATTATATAATTTTTAGATGTTTTAAAGTTGACAACGTTTCGAAATTAAATGAGAAAAAAATAAATAACAAACTGGGACAAACTAAACTTGAGATGTGCATCTGTTTATAGAGATAATGTGACTGGCAGAGGGAAGCTCTTTAATCTGTTCATCGGGGCTTTACAGTGTCTGCGAGCATTTAATAGGGCTTCATAATCATTCATTCAGTGGATGTATGGGAAAAAGAGCTGAAACAGAGCCTCTGTATCCAAAGAGAGTGGATCTTGACAAAATGATTTCTCAATGGAAGAGGGGCCTCATTAGCATAACAATTGTGGGAACTGCATGGATCTACTTTTCATGAGCACTGTAAAAAAAAAAAAAAAAAAAAAGAGAGAGAGAGAGAGAAAGAGAAAGAAATAGTACCATTATGCATAGTGATGAGAGAAAGTGTGTTTTGGATTTTGGATTATTGTTCAAATCACTGAGTTGTGTAAATATATGCGTTATCATACATAGCCATAATGTATGATATTTTACACATAAAAACTGAGAAGCATATACATACACACACCTTTTTATAAATAAATAAACAATTTTTTTTATGTAACATGTAAATGCACTTAAAATGCATAAACCTGTAGAAATAAAAACAAATAGGATTTTAAAAGTGAGTCTGAAGAAATTCTGAAACTATATAAATAAATTGTATTTTTTCTATATACTTAACACTCTACATTTTGGTCTGCAAATGAGCCATAATTCAATGTTTTCCCAAGTGGGCTCCAGCTGGAAAATCAGGGATCAGCAGGGGTCCTTGTCGTTTCCATGGGGTTGCCAAAATGGGAATAGGACTACCTTAATTCAGCAATTGTTGCCCGGATGATTTAATTAATGTGCAAGAATGAGTGTTCAGTTTCTCCAGCTTAAATAAACAACAACAAAAGTCACCATGTCATATGGAGTCTGTCAAACTCCTGTCAAATGGAGGTTTAAGGAAAGAGGGTTTTAACATCTTAGCTAAAGTTGTGACATATATGTTATCAAATATTGGTTCGTATTTATCTAATGGAAGTTCATGCTTTGGTGTAAACGGGAAAACTTTGGCATAAATAAATCTGGAGGCCCCTGGACCTTGTCGGGCCCCTGGGCTGCACTGACTGTACCTTTAAAGACCCAATTAAAGGCAAGTCCCGCCTCTTGGGCAGACATCCCATGAGTCATAAGTTTGATGTCCTGCCCAAAGTTTAGACCCGACTGGAGCAAAAGTTTTTTTCTAGAAAGTGAGCTGCGGAGATTTGTTCTACGAACTATGAATCTTTCTTGTACGAATATTCACTAACAGCGTCAGCTTGGCCGAAACGCAGAGAGAGTGGGACTCTTCCAGCCTCGCGTTTGTTGTGTTTTTCGTCTTTTGTGGCTGCGTCTGCGTTTTTTTTTTTTTTTTTGGAAAAGTTGGGGCCGGGACGACAACACAGATTCCAGTGTGGAGTAGATATGCGCTTTGTTACATTCACAAGTATGCCAGCAAGAAACAACAGGAAAACGCTGTCTTTCACTGCAGATTTCGACAGCTAACACACTTTGGGGAAAGAAAAAAAAAGAAAAAGTACTGGACTGTTAAACTTTAGAATGACTCGGGATAACTTTTACTGAGTGCCGTCGATATTTCCTGCTTTCCTGCTGTGTGGAAGAAAAAAAAAAGTTTGGGATTGGCTCAAACTTCTTTTTGTGAGTTTCTGAACAAAACATTTTCGGACACATACAGTTCGCAGACTGTTTTGGGGCAATGGATCCGAGCCAGCATAACCCTCCTGCCGGACACCAAATCGTCCATGTACGGGGCGACTCTGAGACCGACCTGGAGGCGCTTTTCAGCGCCGTGATGAACCCGAAAAACACTATCGTCCCCCCTTCCGTACCCATGAGGATGAGGAAGCTGCCAGACTCCTTCTTCAAACCTCCTGAACCAAAGTCCCATTCCAGACAAGTAAGCCCGCCCTGTCTCTCCTCTGCCCCTTCCCAGAAATCACGATTAAAGCGAGGCCCATCCTGTGGGGGCTCAGGCCTACAGTACGTGACTGGTACAGTCAGTTATTAGTTACTTTATCCCACTTAGAAGTTGTTTATAGCCTTTAGGATATTACCACTTTGCTTTGAGAGGCTGTTGGTTGTCACGTCGTAAAATGTAGGATACAGAATTATCTATTATTTGCACTAAAAATGATCATTTACCCAGTACTCATCTTTTAATACAATACATTTGATCCAGAGTTCCAAACAAGTTATAATTACATTGGTATAATCACTATCAAAACAGGCCCTTGGGCCCTGTGCGTAAAAGTTATAAAGAAGCCAAAGCCATTTGTTTGGCCTTATTACTTGCCTTATTAATGGAAAAAAAGGGATCTGCAGAAGAGGAGTATTACTAGTGAGTTGTCAGATTGGCTGAACCTACTCGGGACAAGTTAACTTGCACTTGTGTAAATGTTTTATTTGTGGGTAGCACTCATGT